ATGCGGGCAATCCCACTGGGGCCTTCGGTGGAGCTCCCTATGAGGCCACAAACCGCTACCGTGGGCGGGGGAACCGCATGCGGGCACCCCCACTGGGACCTTCGGTGGGGCTCCCTATGGGGCCACGAAGCGCTGCCCTGGGTGGGGGACCCGCATGCGAACACCCCCACTTGGGCCTTCGGTGGAGCCCCCTATGGGGCCACGAAACGCTGCCCCACGAAACGCTGCCCTGGGTGGGGGAACCGCATGCGAACACACCCACTGGGGCCTTCGGTGGAGCTCCCTATGGGGCCACGAAACGCTGCCCTGGGTGGGGGAACCGCATGCGAACACCCCCACTGGGGCCTTCGGTGGAGCTCCCTATGGGGCTACGAAACGCTGCCCTGGGTGGGGGAACCGCATGCGAACACCCCCACTGGGGCCTTCGGTGGAGCTCCCTATGGGGCCACGAAACGCTGCCCTGGGTGGGGGAACCGCATGCGAACACCCCCACTGGGGCCTTCGGTGGAGCTCCCTATGGGGCCACGAAACGCTGCCCTGGGTGGGGGAACCGCATGCGAACACCCCCACTGCCTTCGGTGGAGCTCCCTGGGGGAACATGCGAACACCCCCACTGGGGCCTTCGGTGGGAGCCCGTATGGGGCCACGAAGCGCTGCCCTGGGTGGGGGACCGCATGCGAACACCCCCACTGGGGCCTTCGGTGGAGCTCCCTATGGGGCCACGAAACGCTGCCCGGGGTGGGGGACCCGCATGCGAACACCCCCACTGGGGCCTTCGGTGGAGCTCCCTATGGGGCCACGAAACGCTGCCCTGGGTGGGGGACCCGCATGCGAACACACCCAGTGGGGCCTTCGGTGGAGCTCCCTATGGGGCCACGAAGCGCTGTCCTGGGTGGGGGACCCGCATGCGAACACCCCCACTGGGTCCTTCGGTGGAGCCCCCTATGGGGCCACGAAACGCTGCCCTGGGTGGGGGACCCGCATGCGAACACCCCCAGTGGAGCCTTCGGTGGAGCTCCCTATGGGGCCACGAAGCGCTGCCCGGGGTGAAGGAATCGCATGCGAACACCCCCAGTGGAGCCTTCGGTGGAGCTCCCTATGGGGCCACGAAGCGCTGCCCTGGGTGGGGGACCCGCATGCGAACACCCCCACTGGGGCCTTCGGTGGAGCTCCCTATGGGGCTACGACACGTGTGAGAGGTGTGCCGAGAGCAAAGGCAAGGAGGGGGAGGAGGGAGGAGGGGGAGGAGGAGAGGAGGGAGGAGGGGGAGGAGGAAGGAAGGAAGGAAGGAAGGAAGGAAGGAAGGAGACGCGGGGCGCTGTCGATTCAAAACGAGGACCCAACACCACAGGATGGTTGGGAAAAACGAATGTGCGCGGCGCTAGAGCGAGAGCCACATTTTGAAAAAGGAGCCACCCTCAATCAGTAAAACTGTTGCACAGGTTAAAAGCGAATGTGCGCGGCGCTAAACCGATAACCACATTTTGAAAACCATTCGCCGTCAATCCGAGAAACTCTTGCAATTATTTCGAAAGAATGTGCGCGGCGTTGGGGCGAGAACCACATTTTGAAAACCACCCGCCCTCCATCTGTGAAACTGTTTCCAATGTTTAAGCGTCAGGGTCATACATGGTGAGGAAGTCTGAGGCGAAACGCTGGGCTCGCCCTAAAAACTAACCTCAGGGTGGAAGAACAAGGAAGGAAAAAGTTAAATTGTAAGGAAAAGGAATGGGGGAGAAGGAGGAGGACGAGGAGGAGAAGGAGGACGAGGAGGAGGAGGAGGAGGAGGAGGAGGAGGAGGAGGAGGAGGAGGAGGAGGAGAAGCAGGAGGCAGAGGCAGAGGCAGAGGCAGAGGCAGAGGAGGCGGAGGCTGGGCCAGGGCGGCCTCGATGAGGAATGCGGCGAAGCCGTTGACCCAGACGGTCGTCTCGAGCGGGTGGCGCAGCCTCGGGCGCCAGCCCCGGGCCGACTCCGGAGGCTGAGGGCCTTCGAGGCCCCCCTCCTCCTCCTCCTGTTCCTCCTCCTCTTCTCCTCCTCCTCCTCTTCTCCTCCTCCTCCCTCCTCCTCCTCCTCCTCCTCCTCCTCTTCTTCCTCCTCCTCCTCCTCCTCCGCCTCCGCCTCCTCCTCCTCCTCCTCCTCCTCCTCCTCCTCCTCCTCCTCCGACTGGAGCCTGTATAAAGGCCTGGACGGTTTCATTTTTTTTTGATAACCACGATTCTCAGTTTTTACCACAGATTCCACAGAAATCAAAGAAGTTAATTCAAACTACCAGAAACATACAAGTTGATAAAAGCTAACAGCAAGGTTTCGCCTGAGACATCTGTCAAACAGTAATGGTGGAAGGCTGCTTCCTAAGGATGTCTCAAGCGAAATCTTGATTATTGGAGAATCCTTTGGATCTTCATTTCTTGGGGAATCCGACGGCCTGAGAAAGTCCAGCGAAAAAACAATAATCCACTGGATTTTCAAAAAATCAAGGTGTCGCTTGAGACACCTTCCAAACTTTCACTTTTCCCCTATTGGTTTTTGCCCGATGTCTCAAGCGAAACCTTGATTTTCAATAAGGTTAAATCTAACAATCAAGGTTTCGCCTGAGACGTTTGTCAAAAAGTGATGGTGGAAAGCTGATTTCCTGAGGATGTCTCAAGCGAAACCTGGATTATTCGAGAATCCTTTGGATTTTCATTTTTGGGGGAAACCGACGGCCCGAGAAAATCAGGCGAACAAAAAAAAAAATCCACTGGATTTTCAAAAAAACAGGGTTTCGCTTGAGACACCCTCCAAACTTTCACTTTTCCCCTATTGGTTTTTGCCCGATGTCTCAAGCGAAACCTTGATTTTCAATAAGGTTAAGGTCAAAAACCAAGGTTTCGCCTGAGACATCATGCAATAAGTGATGGTGGAAAGCTGGTTTTCTGAGGATGTCTCAAGCGAAATTTTGATTATTTGATAATCCTTTGGATTTTTATTTCTGGGGAAATCCGACGGCCCCAGAAAGTCCGGCGAAAAAAAATAAAATCCGGTGGATTTTCAAAAAAACAAGGTTTCGCTTGAAACACCCTCCAAACTTTCACTTTTCCCCTATTGTTTTTTGCCCGATGTCTCAGGCGAAACCTTGATTTGTGACCTTAACCTTATTGAAAATCAAGGTTTCGCTTGAGACATCGGGCAAAAACCAATAGGGGAAAAGTGAAAGTTTGGAGGGTGTCTCAAGCGAAACCTTGTTTTTTTAAAATCCAGTGGACTTTTTTTGTTCGCCGAACTTTCTTGGGTCGTCGGACTCCTCTAGAAAATGAAAATCCAAAGGATTCTCCAATTATCAAAGTTTCGCTTGAGACATCCTCAGAAAACCAGCTTACCACCATCACTGTTTGCCTGATGTCTCAAGCGAAATCTTTGTTTGTAGATTTAGCCTTATTGAAAATCAAGGTTTCGCTTGAGACATCGGGCAACAAACAATAGGAGAAACATAAAAATTTGGAGGGTGTCTCAAGCGAAACCTTGGTTTTTTGAAAATCCATCGGATTTTTTTTTTTTTGTTTTTTCCCGCCGGACTTTCTCGGGCCGTCGGATTCCCCCAGAAATGAAAATCCAAAGGATTCTCCAATAATCAAAGTTTCGCTTGAGACATCATCAGAAAACCAGCTTTCCACCATCACTTGTTGCATGATGTCTCAAGCGAAACATTTGTTTTTTGAGGCGATCTGTAAAAAAAAGATGTCACTTCAAACATCGGGCAAAAAACAGTAGAGAAAAACAAAGTTTGAAGGATGTCTCAGCCGAAAGCTTGGTCTCGAATATAAAAACCTGAATCTGTTTTGAAAGACGACAGACTTTCACTCGGCCTGGGGTTCTCGAAACTAAGAGTTCTGAGAATGTTTCAGGCGACAGTGGCTGGACCACTTTGGGGCGAGGCATCTCCAGAATCAAAGTTGTTACCATATCTTAAGCGAAAATGATTCCTCCTCCCTGCCTTCCCCTGCGTTTGATTTCCTTCTCTCTTTCTCGTCCCTTTGCCTTTCCTCCTGCTCGTCGTCGTTCTCCTTCTCCTGCTCTTCCTCCTCCTCCCGCTCCTCTTCCTTGTCGCCCTCCCCCCATCTTCCGTTCTCCTCTCCCCCTCTCCCCCATGGCAATGTCCGGTGAACTCGCCGCAGCGGCGCGGGCACGCCCGGCAGCCCACCCAGGCCATGCCTCCCCCCTTCCTCTTCTCGCCGTCCGCCCTTCCCTTCCGCCGTTTCCTCCTCCCTCTCCCCAGCGCTCTCCGGTGACTCCGCCGCAGCGGCGCGGGCACGGCTGGCACCCGGACCGGGCGTCAGTCCTCCTCTTTTTCTTCTCGCCGTCCCCCCCCCTTTCCGCCCTCCCCTCTCCTTCCTCCGGAAGACTGCGAAGAGTCTATCAAAGCAGCGTAAATATCCGCTTCGTATGCGTGTGCATGACGTGCACAATAGAACTCTCAATCCAAACGAACCACACAAGCGCAGCACATGCACGCACATGCCGCCGCAAATGCCCGCACACGTTGACGCAAAAAGCGGCCGCACATATACCCGCCCAGGGGTCAAGAAACGAACGCTGTGTACACGCACGCGCACACGCAACTTGCACCCGATACCATTGGAATGAAGTCGCATTTTTCTCAACATATAAATGTATTACTACAACACTTTCTCAGGACAAATTTGTTTCCAAAGCCTCTACGAGGCAGACAGCGAAGAAGGCGTTTAGCTTCCGCGCTGCGGCTCCTTCCACAGAGAATATGAAGAACCCACGCTTTTTAATTTGGATTCCCAAACAGCGCCTGCACTTCAAATTTCTTAGTTGTTCTCTAAAGAAATTGAACTGATGTTCGCTTTGGCGGATGTGTTTCCGCCGTCGCCGCCCCGTCGTCGCCCGTCGTCCCCGCGTCTTGGTTGCTATGGTTGCTCGTTGTCACCGTTATCGTTTCGTCGCCGCCTGACGTTCGGACCTGTTTATAAAATTTGGTGATTACGTTGCCGCTGTCGCCGCCCCGTCACCGCCTCGTCGCCGCTAGTTGTTTGGTGTTTTATTGAAAGTTCTCCGGCGTCCTGCGGTGTCCCGTATTGTTCTGTGGCGTCCTATGCCAGCTTGCTCAGTCCTCGAAACAATTGCGAATTGGAAGGCAATGGCCAATGATAGAGTAAGTTTGCGAGCTTCTAGTGCCGCGCATAACTGTCTTGCGGATTGCCCAAGATACAAGCCCGAAGTGTCCATTAAATCGTCTTTCCAAGTGCAAGGAAACAACGATGATGGCGACATATGTTGTTGCAGCGCGCCCGCGAGGCGCACTGTCTCGGAAGATGGCCGGCGCAAGCAACCAGAGCGGCTACGTTAGATAATCCGCTCACTGCGACGAGCGCATGCTCGCGACTGTCTTGCCAAATTCCTCGAGGGCGTCCTCAGGTGTCATTATATACTTACACACGTGAACGCAATGTCAACGTAATTCATAGCAAACCACATGCTTGGATTTTTGCAATTACGCTAACAAGCATTTAAACAACGCGTGCCAATTTGCTACGCTGTCCTTTCCAGCACGGCGCATCTTCCAGATCCACGACCAAATGTATCCGCGGCATCTCTCCCAGTCCTTCGGATGCACTGCGTCTGGGATTGATGACCTCATCTCCGGCCTCAGCTGCGTTGCGTTCATGGAATGGCTTCCACGAGAACGGCATGAGAAAACAGAAATGCAATCGGACTTATAACATCGAATCGCCTTTAAATCTGTTTGATTTACTGGAGGGGGAGAGAGCGGACATATGTTATTACCCCCACAGCTATGGCACCCACCACAGACCATCGACAAGCTGAGTGCCCTTCTTGAGGGAGATCATCCTGACCTTGCCGTTGGGCATGATAACGCGCACCGAACCCTGCGTCGCCCACTGCTCGGCATCATGCGAGACAATGCCATGGGGCAGCTTGAGGTGCTGGTAATGTTCCTCAACAGAAGGCAAGTTTATGTTATTTAATTTTCCTCGTTGCCTTCAATGTTTCTTTTGAAAGTATTGTAAAATTTAATATTGAAGCCGAATGTCCTTGTGCCTCGTCTGGTTGTAGCCGGGCGGCTTCTTCTCCACTGCGTGGTGGGATGCTCGGCTCGGCGGCGCGGCGGACTGGCGGGGGCGGGCGCCGTCTCTGAGCAGCGCGAAGTGGCCCGGAACAAGGGCCCAAAACAACATCTCGTCACACTCTTCTCCGTTGAGCCGACAACCGCTGGCGCCCGCCTCGCGCGCGCGATCGGGCAACTCGAAGAACATGGCGAGATCCCGACGACCGCGAGGGCACGCGCACGTGAATCTCCTGCGAAGAAGGCGATGATACCCGAAGGGATGCGCCCCACAAGACTCCTCCGCGCACGGCTTCTGGCAGGCAACTCGGGAAACTCCCCTCGGCGCAACGCCGCTATCGAACGCCCGATCGCGCGATCATCTCCCGAAGCCGACGATATCACGAATAACTACTAACTCCTCGCAATTGCAGATACGTTCAAGATCGCTCGGCCCCCTCGCTCCGACGAGCAGCGAGCGCTGTCGATTGCTTGATGCCGCGAGCTGAGAAATGCTACGCATGTCGCATGGATGCCTCGTCCGCCTCCACTAGAGAACCCGGCTTCCACTTGAATGCATTATGCTCGGCCTGCGCGGCGGACGCGCAGATCTGCCGCGCGACGCTGCAGATGCGCTCTGCAGGCTGCGGCGATACCCCAATCTGCACGGCCAACTCATACGAAGACGCGTACGAGGTGCCGTGGGTGGAAAGAACTTGTGCTATCGCCAGTAATGTCCTCGCTGGGCTCACAGATCCTGAGGAGAATATTAAGCAATCGGCCGCATCACTGCGACATGGAAAAGCAGCGCGCCACTTTTCCATGTCGCCGCCAATTGATGTGGAGGATTCGATAGGGAGATCGGAATGACCGTCCGTCCTTGCTGGAACAGCTCCGACAGCGGCCCGTCGGGGTCCAGATTGCATCTCTTCTGACATGCCCAGTAATCGCAACGCCAAGCCGGGTTCTCCAAGGGCGGGATCTCGTAGCCGGCCACCGAAGTTGCATGTCCCTGCCCGGGCCGCGTGCATAATTCCACCGCGCCGAAACCGCATTCTGCACAAGTCCCACTCAGATCAGGAAGAATGCCCAAGTCGACGAAAATCTGCGCCACCACTAAGGGTGGCAGGCGAGCCAAATCGACCACTGCAATTCTCTGCGAGATCGGCTGCTTGGCGAGGTGAGCAATCTTCGTTTGCCGATGTTCCGCAGGGATATAACTTGGGCCCGGCGCCTCTTTTGCCTGCTGCGAGCGACCTCTCCTGACGGCGTCGTTCTGCGGCGAGGGCTTCCCCGACGTCAGCGAAGTTTTTCCTCGCGCGGGTATGAGATTTGCTTTCTTTTTCACTGCATGCTTAGCTATGCATTCCCGCTGGTGTTGAGAGGCATGCTTCTTGACGATAGACTTTTTCATTGCACGCGAATGGCCTCCCAAATTTTGCGGGAAAGGTGGGCCGGCGCCGTCGTCTGCCTCCCCGGCTGCTGTCGCGCCGAAACGCGCGCTGCTCTCGCGCACTGAAGAAGGAGCAACTTCACACCAAGTGCCCCGGGCATCAGAAGACTGCCAGCACCATTATGCCAAAAGGCCAGCTGCTCGTTGAGGCGCAGGTGAGTGAAGTGGAACTCCATGAGCAGCACGTAGTCGCCGTCGGCAGGGTTGCCTCTCTCCAGTGGTCTGAAACACATGTTGAACGGAGCCAGCATGCTGTCGCCGTCGAGATAAGTGAAGGGCCCGTTTGCAACGTACGGCGCGGCGTAACCCGCACTATTGATGGCCTCGACCATGCAGGTAGCAGAAAATGCATGGTTCATTCGAACAAGATGAGGGCCCACACTGAATAAGAAGCGATCTCCTGGTGGCCCCGCCACTCCCATTCGAAGGCACGCAACAAACATGTAGGCCTTCAATGCTCAAGGGAGCGATCACGGCGATGTCGCAACATCGCGCAGCCAGAATCCTGGCTCCGTGCCCGCGAGGAAGAACAATGCCTCGAAAACCGTTGACAATTGTAGCATCGTCGGCAGTTAATCTTCAATGAACAGCGTGACCACGAATGGAGAGCACGTTGTCTCCGTCCGCGTCAGGTGCGAAATCGTTCGGGAGCATCTGCTTTCCAAACGGCGCCAGGAGGCGATTGCCGTCTTCCAGCCGAAGAGGACCGGATTCTTCGATGGGCACAGTGGATCCGCACGAGCGCAGACACTCGTGCAAACAAGTGTCGGCAAAATTGTGGTTCTCCTGCTCCATATACCTGTCGGCGTCGAAGAAAAAGAGATCGTTTGATATCGCCGGAAGATCTGCCAGGCGGAATATGCCTAGCAGGAAACTCACTCCGGCTAAGGCGTCCCCCAGCGATCCATCCACAGACAACTGGATGAGCGCATTGCCAATCACCGCGGGCGGCAGCGCCGACCTCATTGCGATTAGTGTCTGCGCCGATCGTGCATGGGGTACCTGAGTCGCCGTGATCCACGCCGCAAAATCCTCTCTGCCTTCATGAAGCAGAAGGTCAAGGGGCTGCCGTCACTGCGAACGGGGAGATATCGTTCAATCCCATTGGAGACCTCCACGAAAAAACTGTTCATGCGCCCTGGGTGCGCACCAGGTGCAGGCGGGGCCGCCGCGCGAAGTGCACCCAGGGAGAGACTCCTCTCGACGATGGCGACGCGCGCTCCCTCAATCTTCAGGATCCGATTCGCTTGCCACGCGCTAGTAGAGACCGCGATGTATCCGTCATAGAGATTTGCATCGTTGCATCCGATGCGCACGTGCACGCAATGGCCGCGGAAGCTGAGCAGATCATCGCCGATGTCAAAAATGTCCGCAGAGCTGACGCGGCGAGGACAGAGACGAGCTCCGAACGGTACCAACAATCGATTCGCATCGTCCTCCGTCAGAGGCCCGCTCTCATAGATCTCAACCGGGTACCCCATGGATCTCAGGCACTCCTGCATGCAGGTGTCGACGAACTTGTGGGAGCATCGGGCCATGTAGACATGCTGATTGAAAGCGGCCAGGGGTTGGCTGTTCCTCTGGATACCACTTATCATAAACAAACCATGTAAGTAGTAGATCGGCGAAACAAGGTCCGGCAGAAATCCACGAGCAGCGCATGCAACATAGATGTAGCCAATCACTTCGCGAGGAAGCCACGCGCCAAAATATCGCCAATTTCTCATGTTGCCGAGGTAAGGCATCTGTTTGAACATGACCCAGCAAGCGAAATCACGAGCAACCATGATATCGCCGCTCATAGCGGTCCCCGTCCCAGCGCGCAGCGGTAAAAATCTCTTCGTGGAACCCTGCACTTCTACCATGATGGAGCCCATCCATCCTGAGAGCGGCGCCGCTGGGGCCCTGGCGACTCGACGCAGCGCGCCGACGCCACTCGACGGCGCTGTTCGCGGCGCAGTGGAAGTTGCGACGAAAGACGGCAAACGTATCAACCACGGTTTCACCTTTGCTCGCACCTCGGTCTGCCGATGAAACTCTGCGAAGACGACTTCTAAACACGCTTCGACGCTCCCCGCCGATTCTCCAGGGCAGACAACGATGCACCCGTCGAACATGAGCCCCGACGGCACGCAGTCGGGCGCTTTTTTCGGAGATAGTGTTCAGGAGGTCGTCCAGCTTGTGGTCTTCTTCGGCAAACAAAGCGTAAGCAAACCTGGACATAGCAGGCGCTCTGCGTTCATTGAACAACCCCCGTAGATACTCGAACTGCGCGTCGTCGTTCACCAAGGCCATGAGGGTCAGAACATCGCTCTGCAGACGCCAGAACATGGGATTTTGATCAACAGGTCGCCCGCCAAAGAATGTCTCCAATAATTTCATCTTCACTTGTTCCCGAGACTCGACGTAATGATCCTGCAGGAAGCCGTGCCACTTCGCAGGCGACGCCACGAAGCTGTCAAGCACTTCGCTCACTCCTCTGAGACGCTTGCACAAAAGCGAGCACATCGTTGGGATCGGGTTCTCAAAGTCCAAGTCCAAGATATTGAAATCAGAATCCTCTGGCAACTGGCAAGCGGCGGCCCTGGCCTCTCGCATGCGGCACTTTCATATATCATTAATTTAAACAATAAATTGAACAATCTAATGTTTGCATTGCCTTTGACTTCGATGTCATAAATAAGTTGGGGGAAGGAAGGAGCAGTGACCGAAATGCGGCAGTATTGCCATGTACATACATAGGTTAAATGATTAACAGGAAAAGAGAAACAATATTTGAAAGTTGCCGCATGCCTCCTTGGCGATGGTCTGCAGAGACAGACCCAAGCTGTATCGCCTTCCAGGAATGCCGTACTTCCGGATGTAGTGCACAGTGTGTTCCACCATCCCCTTGAAGCGCCTGCTTGGTCTTGAATCTCTTTTCAGCTTCTGGATATAAGCAGTCACTTGTTTTTTTTACGCCGGTCTTCGACTTTTTGGTTATAGTCGATAAGGGCCTGGAGGTTTACAACCTCGGCGAACGCACCTGCATCGGCATCGCCCTGGCGACGTCGATACGCGTTCTCTACGTCCTTCCCAACGTCCTTCTCGACGAAATCGTCGGCCTGAGGATTCGCTTCGCATTCCTGGATCAAGTCTCATATGTTGCCCCACATCTCGAACTTTGGCAATCCGTGCTTCTCTGCCAGGCGTTTGAACTTGTCCGCATCGAAATCAGCCCGGTAATAACCTGTTCCATTGGCATCTGCTTGAAACAAGTACGGGTACACCTCGACATATCGTTTCATGTTGTCCATTTTCGATGGCTTCGTCGCAGTGCCCTGCAGCTTCTGAGAACCGGGTAGAATGTTTGATTTCTGTAAAACATAGTTCTTGAACATCCGCGGCTGGGTGACATTGGAAGAATGCAAGCGGATCAGCGTGTTCTTGGCCTCGGCGTATAACTCGGCCGCTCTGTCGTTTCCATCGTCGGCGGGCGATGGATGTTCTATACCTCCGCATGCCATGCTCTTTACAGGCGAACTGGTAGACTGGTCGATCGTCTGACCAGGGTTCAACACGTAGTGCAGCATCTCCTCAGCACTGTACTGCTGCATTAGTGGAACTAGGTGATCGTGTAGGCGGCAGTGTCGAGCCTCACCTTGAAGCAGCCAAGTCCTCAAGTCGGGGTCCAGCAGATGCACATGCATAGAGTGATCAACTTTCTCTGGGTCCCCGATGAACTTGCTCAGTAGCTCCACGCATACAATGCGGCGCAGATGCGGAGTTAGCCTCTCGTCATCGTCGGGGTCAGTGACCGATATTGCGGGAGCTCCTTTATTCAACTCCCAGAACTTCGCCGTCCGAGGCCACTGGTGCATCTCTGTGGTCCTCCCATAGTTCGGTCGCGAAGCGAGGGCTTCGCCAGACGCGAAGGGCTTCCAGACGGCGTCGAGGAGCCTGGAGCCAGCTTCGCATTCCTGGACAGTGATCAGGCGCATGTTTGCGAAATGGCCGCTCTGTACGCGGAACTCGTCTTTCTTGTCAAAGACAACGGGCGAAACAAAGGCGTTGCTCTCGCCGGCCACGTTCGCCCGGAGAGCAGATAGCATGCTCTTGGCGCTGCCGCCTCTGCCTTGGATAAAGAGCATTCGCGGGGCGCTCATGCGGCTCATGAGGCCCAGGCATTCTACGCAGCCGACAAGAAGACGACCTTGCGTGTTCCCAGCATAAGATGTATCCAGAAAGGTTATCATCCTGTCGGTGGCGTGATCAGGAGGAGCCCAAGACAACCTGGCTTCGATATGCTGGTAGACGTTGTTCGCCATGGCCTTCTCCATCTGCAACACCTCTATGCTGTCGGCGGCCGCCGTTGCAAATCGGATACAGACGTCCTCGAAGTTCAGGGTGTCGCAATCAAGCGGCATGGGGATCTGGAGCCACGCCGCGAAACAGTGGAGCGGCCCGGCCGCGTCATCAGCTGCGCTGACTCTCCACGCGAGACCGCCCATGGCATGTCCCAATGGCGCGGCCCAGTGCTTCTTCACAGCAGAATCGTGGAATTCGAAATCGCCTGCTGGTCTATATGCATTAATCGGCGCATTGTCGCGCAAGAAATCAAATACAATATCCCACTTGAGATCTACTTTCTCTGTGCAGATGCGGAGCGAGTAACGACGAGCGACATTGAATGCCGCCGCGGCCGCCTCCACGAAGCCGGCTGGAAGAACTTTCATTTTTCGTAGAGCTCCATTCTCGTATTGTCGAACGGCGTCTGAGTGAGCTCGGAGACGACAGTGACCTAGCAGTGCGAGAACGAAGGCAAGAAGCATATCGCTTTCGGATCCCAGACAACGTTCATAGCTAGGAAGAGCGCAATAAGACTCAAACCAGCACGTGCAGCCCCTTCGGGTGGCGTCGACCAAGACTCAACGGTTTCGCGAAGCTTCTCGGCAACGGCATCTATCTTGTCCACGACCTTAGGCCCAGATACAACAGCCTCCACGGCCAAATCCAGCGAACTTGTCCCGCCCGGATGCAGCAAGTCGGAAATGTCGCCAGCGTTCTCCACGTCTCGGAGTCTCGGTCGAACGCGCCGAGGCGGCGCGACCGAGTCTGGCATGGGCTGCGGCACAGGAGCACCCATAGTGTCACGCCCCAGACCTCGCGTGTACTCGGACTCCAGCGAATCTCCGTCGCCGGCTCCTCCAAACGCATCTGGGCCTGCAGGAACTTTAAGGGAATCATAATCTGACAGTACATAGTAAGTCCACGTTCTGTAGAACGCGCGATCGCGATCATCCATGGGGGCGAACTCGCGCGTGCGGTTACACCTCTTAATGCAAATGCTCCGGTCATCACGTGCTACGAGGATTTCTCGGTCAAGAATTTTCACAGCCTTGAGATGATCGACTCCATCGAAAGCAACGTACTTCTGACCTTCCTGGTGAAAGTTCTCGCTTCCCGGCTCGACAGGCAGCAGCATCTTCCCGTGGCGGCTCAGCATTGGGTTGCCATCCTCGAGGGCATGGAAACCGCCGTCGTTTTCATATGGCACCTTCACCCCCAATGCCCGCGCAGAGTCGATGGGGGCAAACGTCCCTGCACATCGGCTTCGCCCTCGTGGGAGGCCCGCGAAGGGGCCCAAAGAACTTCGGCCTTTTCGAACCACCCTCTCCGCTGCCCTTGTCGATCGAGACGCTTGGAAACTCAGGGGCGCGATTCTTCCGACGCCGCGTGCGACTCTTTAGAGTCATTGCAGTCGCGCCCTCCTGACGTCGAAAGATATTCCTCTCCCTCCGCCGCTGCCGCATGGACTGCTGCGAGCGCTCATATACCCGCCCTTTCCCTGGGAACTTCATCGTCAGCATTGCATCTGGTGCGATGAACTCTTCAATCTTGTACGTATCAGGAACTGTTGGGGCTGGCTCTTGCGGGCGGTAAATCTCGCCCCGTACATCCGCTCTTGCGTGGGACATCGCTCGCCTCTGGAGCTTGTTCTTCTTCGGGTCCTTCTTGGACAAATGCTCTGGCAATTGAATGCCCCGCTCTTGAATCGCACCTTCACACCCCAACGCGCGTCGCCCTGAGGGCGAAGGGGGGAGTTTTTGTTCGGAAGCAATTTCCAAACAAAAAAGCTCACGTTTATTATGGTGGTTGATACGACTGATGAGTTAAATTCAAGTTTGCCATAAAAGGACTGCCTCGTCGAAGAAATTGCTGCCATCGATGACGACCCCTCGCTGGCCGAACGACTCGTCCTTGCAGTTCCAGAAGACGACGTCCTTGATTTTGAAACCGATGGGCATGTTCCCATCGACGGCGGAGTTGCGATTTTAGGGGCGCGGGCTCAAGCAAATTCGCCGGCCCCCCTCTATGACCTTCTGCCGGACCAGCAGGCGCCAGTTAACTGTCGCGCCCAGCCGTGGCGACGATTCAACATCCAATTGGTTGCAAATTCCTCCGAAGCTATTATTTCGCTCCTGGTGATGTGTCGTGGAGTGAATCATGTTCATTGTTTTCTGTTATCCGGAATCTCTGCTCTCTCCTGCCACTTCGACAACTATCGCCGCGACGAAACCGCTCGCACTCGATAGTCCTCGGCAGACTGGGTGGGTTCGGGTTGAGGCCCGCAATATCCGACTGGTCCTTGCTAGACCGTGTTAATCCCCTCATCATTCGACAGCATCTCGTCGGAAGTTGTCTCCACATTCGACTGCCGGGGGCCGTCGTGGAAGTTGTCGAAGTCACCCATGCTCGACGCGTCCCAATCGCCCCACGAGCTCACCTCGCCAGAGAGATCGGCGGTGCTCGAGTCCCAGACAACGAACCCGCCACCCTCCACGAAGTCGAAGGGGTCGATGTCCCGCTCCACCTCGGCCGCATCATCTCCCATCTCTGACGCGTCGGCATCGCTGCCGTCGTCCACCGGCGCATCCCGATCGCCGGCGAGCCCGACGTGGCCGCCAACGATGTAGCCGCCCTCCTTGAAGCAGGAAACAGAAATTACCTTTGGAAACGCATGCCCCTCCTCTCCCCGCCCGCCTCGCCTCGCCCTGCCACCTCTGATTCCGCTCCGCGGAATCATCGCCGGGCTTGTCCGCCCCCAGCCGCGGACATTCGGCAGGGGGGGATATGGGGGCAATCGTGAAAATCAATTAGTATGACTACGATGATGACATCCCCTGTCAATTACACATCGACCGACGACTTTGCATTCACTCGATGTACAGAGAACGACATAACCGATACGACTTGTAAGTGCATTTTCTCATCGCGTTTGTTCTGTCCTGTGTTTCCTCCTGCGGCGTCGTAGTCTTCGCGAATCCTGTCTAGAACGAATCAACAATCGGTCGCCCGACATCGGTCGAGATTGACTGCTCTCGGCGAGATCGGTTGGTCGATTCACATCAACACCTGCTGGCGCAATTCGGTCCTTGTCGATGATTCGGAAAAACTCATTATCAGTGAGCTGCATGCGGAGATACATCTCCAGGGG